GTTATTTCTGTACAACTACCCAATAAATTGCTTATTATTTTGAATTTTGATGTCTGTGTATATTTTTAGTGATATAACTTTGAGCACCAATAAAGTATAATACCTATAAATAAAACAAAAGACGAATTAAAACAATATTCATAATTTCCATCGGCTTGTCCAGAGCAGGATTACTTTGCTAATGCTCAACAGATTTTTTTATTGTGGCTTATCATCTATATTTACTCATTATTCTATACCTTTATTAATGGTTATTTCGTGGTTAAATCATTTGAACCAAAACGAGAGTGTACCTGTCAAGAATCTTACCAGAGAAATATATCTAACGTTATTTTACAGGAAACTCGGTTATTACCTTTGTAAGATATTAATAAGTTTAGGACTAATACCCGATTATAATCGTTAATGTATAAAATCCCTCAGAGTGAGCTAGCTTTGAGAGGTAAGCTATGGATAAGGTGGTGCCATTCAATCAGCTCAGAGATCTATGGAAAAAAAAACGTAGTTAAGAAATATTTTTCAGGGAATAATGTCAACAATTTGTTAACAAAAACTGAAAAACAGATATCTTTACACTAAAATCTTTGTACTAACATATCATACATTTCTTAAATTTTGTAGTTATTTGGTAAGGTTTCTAATCTATATGTAATGAAATATAAGTTTTTTGTTGTCTTTTTTTACTTCTTTATATGCAATTCAGTTTTTCTTATATATTAAATCGTAGAATAAATTTGTTTCCTGTGCTCTCTTATCACGTGCACTCTATCGTTTGTAACAAGATTCTTCCATCTTCAGTGGAGGATTCACAGCTATCATGTTAACCTTACCCCTTACTGAATACAGTTTTTGTTAAAATATATTAAATGCCATTTATTTTTAAAGTTTATTAAGCCTACACATCTTAATTTAAACAAGTAAATGAAAAAATTATAAATATTTCTAACCCATTGACTGCGGCTGCTCTAAATTTTTGCAAGCCATATGCCGTATGCGACACACTTGCATTCAGCTGCCCTATATGGCGAATAAGCAGTCAATGGGTTAATTAGATGTAGACATGACTCTTGCAAAAAGAAAAACACGAGAAAGAGATGCTAATACACTACTCTGTGCAAATCTCTTATTTATTCCCCCACCCCCCATGCATTGTGAAAACACAATGTAGGGATAGTCGTGGAGTGAAGGAGGTATTTGCACAGAGTATAGTTTTATCATCTCTTTCTTGTTTCTGCTCTTTTTACAACTCATCCTTACATATAATTAAAAATACTTTTAAACTTTTTGATTTAGTTGTTTGTATACTTTTTAGGTGGCGCTGCGATAGCTACTTGTTGTTAGAGCAATCACAAAATATATTGTAGTGAAGTGCGCCAACCCCAAAATTTCTATCTTTCAGACATATCTAGTTTGTGTAGTGCAGGAAACTAATTTATACTAAGCACTGTCTATTTGTGTGTGATTAGCTGAAGAATTTACTCTGTTTTTAAGCTGCAGCGTCAGGAGAAGAAGAATCAGAGCAAGAAACGGGCGAATTTTCACCTCCGTTTTCTCGTTACTGACAGAGGTTGGTCAAACATTACGAGTAGTAAAGTGTATGAATGATCAAGCGCTTTTGAGGCATAGCTTATTTCCGCATGTTCTAGTGTTACCGTTTCCATAGGCTATGTATTAGTCGCCATTTTGTTTCTTTGCCACCCCTACATTGGGGTCCGCTACCATTTCCCCCAATATGCAATGATTTGTTCAAATTACGAACACAAGAGAATAACATTAATTGTACTTCCTTTTTCACTCAAATATCGCTTCATTTAACCAGAACTGTATTATTCTCTAATGTAACACAAACAGCTTTATAATACGCGTATATTAGTCGTATTGGATAATAATAACAATTTGATAATAATATCAAAACCTATACTTCCACATTTTCATATGGATTTTTGATAAAGTACATTATTCATTTGTCAATTAATACGTAATTAAAGATTAGTTATATAGTATTATATCCCATTAAACAGTGATACATTTCATTGTTCTATAAGTATTTATAACCACCGAGGTCCATGCTTTAAGTGGAGTTAACCATTTAGATCCTTTTGACCAAAAGACCTCTCACCAACTTACAAATAATTTACTTGTAAAGAAAACAAACGTTTAATTATGTGAAATAAATATTTTATTGGAAATTGAACATTTTTGACGAAATCTTATTCATAAAATACGTTATTGTAACTATTTATTTAAACTGTGCCCAAAACATCAATACCCGTTCCCAAAATGTGAGGATATTCATACATTGCCACGTACTTTTTACAAAAAAAAAGAAAATCTGGAGTACGGTGCGTTTCTGATACTGTCTACATTCCGTTTAAGACAGTTTTTTAACAAAGATGCACTAACACTTTTTAAGTGTTTAAAATGTTTTTTTATAAACTTGTATGTACTTGCTTAACAGTAAGTGCTATTATGAATATATGCGTGAAAATAAAAAAGAGCTTCAAATGATATTAAAGTGGCAAAGGAAAAAAGTAAAACAAATACAAAAAGGCAAATAACTAACCTGCCTTTTAAAAAACCAGCTACAACCATACATTAACAACAAATATTTTAATTGCTTCAGGAGACTGTTCGGCACAAGCTTGTACTCTTCCAATATTTCATTCTCCCTGCAAGTAGTGTTCAACATGAAATGAAAGCCAAATCACATTCATTCGGTGATAGTCACGGTCCACAATGTTCTGAAACACTTCTAAATTCAGTATATGTATTGTAAGTGCATGGCACCTGTAGAAGTAGTCCACAAGTGTGTGTGCAACTGGTCTTCGCTGTAGACCCTTAAGATCTGTGAATTCAATGTCAAATTTCTTCATACAAACCATATCGCAACCTGCGACAAAACGCAAACAATTCTGCAGTCTTTCATCATCTAAAGATCGAATAAACTGATTAAAAAAATACATTGTTCTGTTTTGTGTTGCATTTTGAACTTCAGCATTGATCATGCTTAGTACGTGTTTTACAGTTGGCTTCTTCACTTCATTTAGCGCTTGGAAACGTCTGGTAGTAATTGTCGTAAAGTGCTGCATGTTATGTCTTATATTCTGTCATCATATCTTGCAGTATGTTGACTCTGCGTTTGTTAGTTTGTAATTATGCACAAAGCTAAACAATGGGATATCTGTGCTCTGCCCACCACGGGTATCGAAACCCGGTTTCTAGTGTTGTAAGTCCGCAGACATACCGCTGTGCCACTGGAGGGCTGACTCTGCGTAAAGTCAAAATGCGCACATCTGCCTTTTCCTGTGTCGGAGAAAGTAGTATTGAGGAGGAGAGGTTTCTAACTTCTGTATTGGAGACAAAGAGGGTGAAAGACTGTGACCTGGGGGCAGATGTAATGATTAGCTCTGGAGAAGGCCACTGTAGTATTTACTGTCGTGGAAGCAAAGAGGAAACTGGATTGTGTTGTGGAAACAATTGTACTGCTGAAACAAACAGAATTTTACTCTGAGGCTTTGGCGTATTGGAAGACATTACATGTTGTTTTGAATTATAAACAATATATACTTCCCAAGCGAGAGTGTCATCACAGGTGTCACATTCATCATTTATATTTCCGAGTCGGAAGAGTGCATGGCAGAAGCAAATGACTGTATAATATTGCCAGATACCTCATGGTCAAGCTCACTTTCTGTCAATTTGCTGCAATCCAATTCAGAAGTTTCTTTTATTGAAAAAAATAGGAAATTTGTCAAATGAATCCAATGCAATATCTGATTTAGATTCAGATTGGATGCTAACTTTTGATGACATTACAGTTTTTCTGTGACTTTCTATTCCATGTCCACGGCAGTTGTTCCACGATCTATAGATGCTAAACAGAAACGCACTATTTCCATTTTCACTTTTTCATAGACATTCCCTACGGTCATATCACGTGGCAGCAGATTTTCTTGAAGATCTCAAATGAGAATTGATTCTCATTCCCTTTGACTGGCCATTTGGGAAGAACAGACCCATAGCAACATTTAAAAGCCCATCACAATCGATACCTTTTAACACAGACATTTTCTAGTGCCACCCCCCACCACGAGTACGAACTTCTTTACCATTATATATCCATCCAATTTCTATTCTTCTGGTGCTTTTTGCAGCATGCTTATTTCCCGTTTTCCTATCATTAAACTGGATATGCTCATTATCATCACATAAATCTTCGGTGACAGTCAACAAAGGCCTTACTTTAATTTTCTTTCTTAGTTTTCAGAAGGAATTTTTTTCTGGAAGGTAAAATATTGCCTTTGTCGATATGGTTTTTGCAGTATCTTCGTAAAGCCACTATCACCAAGAGCTGGTAAGTACATCACTAAAGATTTATCCTCCATGAGCAAAACAGTTGAAGAGTCAATCTGTAAAGACGAAAAAAGGTTGTAATACAACTGAACTAATCTATATTCTTAGGTAACCTTAGATTATCCTAATACATCTTGGGTAAAGATTTCATCGACATTACTTTTTGATAATTATATTATTAATATAATATTTGATTATTTATTTTTCTATTCTGAAATCATTTTACTGAAGAACATGTTAAAACGTGTAAGAAAAGTTTTCAACTTATTATAATATGTATCATTTTTACACCTCTTGAATTTTATTGCATAGCACCAAAATCAATAAAATGGGGAATTCAATAATAGAAATTCCAAACATCAAATGTATACAGCCAATTTTTTTGTGAAGCCACAACATCAAAAACTGACAAAGCTATAATGAAAAAGGGAATAGCATAGTTAGTTAATACTATAGTTGATATAAATATCCACAAATAACATTGTCACTCCAATGAAGCTGGTCTTTAAAAATAATAAAGTAGTAAAAAAATCCAATAATACGGAAGGTAATTATTTTCAATATACAATTGATGTGTTTAAGGATAAAACTTATCTACAGTAAACAGCTGTTGGAGTAAAAAAGAAGAAAGGGTGTAATATGTTATATATGTCACTTATCATGTCAGACCCAAGACTACTGATATTATTAAGATATACCTCATATTAATTTAAACATTTTACAGCTTTTTTTTAAAGCATTCCTGAAAGGAATTCCTCCATTCACGACACATTGTTTTGAAGAATTCGTTTAGCTTCAACAAAATTCATTATTTTTCAGATAGTAATTTGCGCACACAAATGCATTGATAAAGTCATACATGAAACAACTGTACTATGAGCTTCTTTGTTTTTCTTCTTATTTTATTTTCAGAGTAGATCAAATAACATTCAGTTCTGTGACATAACATATGTGTATATTGTAGTTAAGGTATATAAATCAATTATAGAATGTTAGTAATTGTCTGTTATTATTGGGCCAGGGCGCTAGACTCGCAATCTGAGGATTGCGGGTCTGAATCCCCGTCCCACCAAACATGCTCGCCCTTTCAGACGTGGGGGCGTTATAATGTTACGGTTAATCCCACTATTCGTTGGTAAAAGAGTAGCTCAAGAGTTGGTATTGGTGACTAGCTACCTTCCCTCTAGTTTTTCACTACTAAATTAGGGACGGCTAGTGCAGTAAGCCCTCGTGTAGCTATGACTGAAATAAAAAACAACAAACCCTTATTATTCAGCTAGTACAGGAGCTGATATGTTAATCACTTAAACAGTTCATTAGATTATTTTCATTGGAGTGGCATAATTAATAATGTGAGGCTTTGAATTGACAACTGCGTAGTCAGGTTGTTCAGGATCAGCCTTAAATTTCGCAAGAGCTTATTTATAACATTGTCAAATTAATTTCAAAATCTTACCTTCTGTTGTTTTTTTTTCATCTCCTGGATTACATCTTCAACAATCCCATGGTCACCAAGAAATGCATACATATATTTTTGAAGTGCCATTGGAGAAGTTAAGCTGGGGCAAAATAATAAAAAAAAAAACTATAAAAATGATGAGTCATACTAAAGTAAAAAATTATACTAGCATGTTTTTGACGACAAAATGCCATTATTATTGTTACTTATTATATAATCGTTTATTACTACTTAATTATTATAACTTAATTATTTATTAAAGGCGATTTACATTCAGTATGACCTTTAAACCAAACACAATTCGATATTTTTATCTGGGACCACCACAGAGACATGGAAACAAACTTTCACATAAATTATAATGTTAAATACCTAACAGAATGTTTCAAAGACATACTCAACATTACAAAATACAAATCATTATTCAGGTAATACATATACTGCTATATTAATAAATACACATAAAAATGCGAATTATGGAAATGAAAATATTAGTGCGTCAAAATTAAGTTCGACCTATATACATGAATGTGCAAATTACTCGCACACCTTAATTAATCACGTATGTTTATGACTAAGGAAAGCTATATACTTCTATATTAATGAATATACATAAATAACAACTTTTTGGGGCTTTTATAACTGAACAACCGTTAATTTAGACTACTAATGGTAACACTCACCTGAAATAGTCACGGATGCGAATGGTAGTTGTCAGACGCTCTCGAGTACTAACTCCAAAGGTAGTGCGTTATTAGTGTTTTATCGTCTCGTACGTACGAGATGAGACCTTCTAATTTTTTCCCACTTGTGGTTCAGAACTTCCGAATTTATTCAACATGTGTATGCCGCTCGTTTTATCGTAGTACATGCCATTACATTGTTACCGTTTAAATCTGTTCTTTCTAAACATCGGATGGAATACGAAAACTCGCTCAGTGATAATGTTGTTTTTTGTAGTTCGAATATTATGAACTAACTTTTTTTTTGAGATATTAATGCTGATGATGGAATTTAAACGTTCCGAAACGTCTGTATTAAAGATGACTTCTGGTATTACCGCATTTTTAAATATTTATTACAAATCTATGCTTTATTAGATTAATTATTTGATAACTTTATTCTGTTTCAACTATTTAATAATCGTTAGATTTTTGAAGTAAAACGTGCCGATATATGTGTATATATCTGCATTTGTTGTTGATACAGGAATAAACATGCTACAAGTTCTTCACTCTCACTAACAAGGTAAAACTGCACGTGTACTAACGGCTAGCCCCCTAGTGGCACAGCGGTATGTCTGCGGACTTACAACATTAAAAACCGGGTTTCGATACCCGTGGTGGGCAGAGCACAGATAGCCCATTGTGTAGCTTTGTGCATAAATTCAAAACAAACAAACAGACCAACGGCTATAACAAAATTAGCAACATTTAACGGTGTTAAAATAATTTTGTGTTTACAATATATGTATCACATATAGTTTTTTGATTTCATAAATTAACTGTGTTCTTTAATAAATTGAATATTTTTAGCACTCATTAGAAGAGTGGTCAAAGTTTATGATTGAACTAATCCTTCTATTTTTTTTACTTGTCTGAGTGAATACGTATAACTTCAAACTTTTGAATTAATCTGTTAATTATTTTCACATTGTAATAATTAGAAATTCATTTTTATTATGGAGAAACAGGTATAAGAGAAGATTTAATGATTTTTTTGACGTTTAGGAGGTTTTTCTGTTCTTCAATGTAACAAGTAGATATAGCAAAATCCGAAACCATAATGAAAGTTGCTGCCAAACGATGGGTAGCTAACAATGATTACGTTTTTGTGCCCAGACTGTTTAACAACATAAGGAAACATAATTTTGAAACATTGTTATTTATATCAAATTATTGAACATGTGTTATTTCAGCGGTATCTCACAGAAACTTTCAAATTACATCGGTTAGAAACACGGATATACCCCGAAAAATTAAGGAGAGTCATAAATTTTTAGTAGTGTTACGTATTGAGAATTTAAAATAGTCCGAAGCCGATATTTTAGTTAATTTACGCTATTTGCCAACAAGTTCGACACACAGTCTTCGTTTTTCACACAAATACGTTTTAATATATTTACAACAGTACAATTTACAACAACAATTATTACGAATAGTTACCACAAACAAAGTTTTATAAACAACAATTTCACTAACTTACAAACAACATAAAATCTTATTTCCAGTTCAGAGTCTCCTTGATATCCAGCGAGTTAACTTGAAGTCGATGTACGTACAATTGCCGACAAGCTAGTTAGCTTTGTCAGATACTGAATTGTTAGACCGTCAAAGTAAGATAATATTTCCATAAAACCACTAATGTCCGATGAGAATTCAGTAATAATTTTGGAAAGATACTAACGTCCGATGAGAATCCACTGACGTTCGAAATTTATAACTGTTCCTGATCAAATGTCGTAAATTTTCCGGTTGACAAGGGTTAGCAAACTCATGATTTATAGCATACACGGTTATTTTATAACAGGTTCCTAGCAGACTTATATGCTCTCTTTTTTGGTCTTGGTCTTTTTATATGTACGAGAAATGTTATTCTCGAAAGTTTGGACAACAATACTTAACTATATTTAACTGGTTACAGAAGTGGATATAGTGTCGATTCTTGCGTTCACGAATATTCTATAACCTTGGAGAATTTGCGGGAGTTTCGCCATACGTAACTAACACATATAAACTCAATCCTAACAAATGTTGTCATTAAGATAAATATATAACAAATTCGTTACACGCAATACATATCTGACACTATAAGTTACGCATATTTTTAAATACAAATTTAATCTAAACAACATTCATATTAAAAATAAATACATAACAATAAATTTGTTACAGTAGTGTGCATTATTTCTATGGCCTGTTTGTACATCTGGGCACTGCCAGTTAGAATCGGGGAATGAGCCCCGTATGCTATCGCCTAACGACGCCTTTGGCAAATATCAGGTGGGAACAAATACATTTGCCACAGATAAATATACACAAATGTCAAATGTGAACAGCCATATATCAAAGGTCAAATCCCTTTCATGCCAGATGGCACATAGGATCGATCCAATGTTGAACTTGGCACAAGCGGATGAGAATGGTGATACATTCATTTTCCCTCCTGGATGGGATGCCAGTCCATCGCAGGTTAACCCCAACTAACAGCTGGTACCCATCATACAGCTGGGTAGACTGAAACAATTGGGGTAAACTGTCTTCCTCAAGGACACAACAGCCTCGAACTGGCAGCCTTCTGACTGAGAGTCCAAGGCGTGAGGCCACTGAACAACGCTGCCCACAGAACAAGTATATGTACATTAAGCTCCACTTTCTGAATTTCTAGCTTACCAGCTTGGAACATGCATGTTCACTCTCTGACCACATTGGAATAATTTTCAGATAGGTTTTCCTTAAAGAGTATATTATTGAACTAAAATATCACCAACGTGATTGTAGAGTTGATGAAATTGGTATTCGAAAGTGAAAGTTTAGCAGACGTAATAAGATAACGAAACCTATGAATGTTGTAGTACGTATAAAATGTTACATAAATAAGTTAAAACGATGTAATAACAAAATATCGGAATATAGCTATAAAACAAAAGCGTGAAAAAGAAAATGACATACACAACAGAAATGGGATGGGTGAGACCAATTGATTATATACGAATTGGAAGGTTCAAGGTTCGAGCCTGTGATATGCCGCTTAACGTGCCTCGCAGTTTCACCTATAATAAAAAATAAAAGTTGATCTCACTATTTTGTTAAAAGTAGCCTATATATGTGACGGCTGGCCTCCCTCTGATCATCAGTTGTAAATTACAGATAAATACGTGAGAGCGTTGAGGTCTCTTGCCTGACCATTTAGCCCCTGTGTCAAAGATTGAAACCACTAAATATCCCAGCAGAAAAGGCTTACACTAATGCAAGATTCAAGAGTAAAGGCAAATTACCTGAGGATTACGAAGACACTAGCGAATTCTAGTAGGTTCCCCTTTTTAGTCCACATGTATTTCAAAATTATTGCAATTAATTCGATTTACTCAACAAACGTTTAACTGGTGAAATACTCTAGATAAAGTAATAATAATAATAAGAAGAATAACACTTTCCAGTTTGGTTGAGCGAATGTCTCTTATAACAATGAAGCAGATCAAAATATCGAAATCTGGCCATGAGAGCTTCTAATAATATCATTGATGGTTATTAAAAAATATCTATAAGCAATGACAGGTTCGGGGAATCAAACTTTCATAAACTGATTTTTAAAAGAAAATCTGGATTTTTAAGAACACTTTTAGAGCTTAAAGCCCTTTTATGTTCTTCGTGGAACAAAATGTAACAAGCTATTTAGTAAACACAAGCGCTAGAGTATTAAATAATAATTACCAGAAATACTCACCAATCCTTAAGGTTATTTTGACGAAATTATTAATATTTTTAACAATCGAAGAATACTAATTGTATAACAAAATTTTAAAAACCTTTATGGTTATATATTTCAAGAAATCGTATTAAGATCTTAATCATTACTGTAATAAAGAGTTCAAAAGAAGAACTTGATAAATCAATAAAGCGTTTTACT